ATAGCTAAGTAAACGTGTGTGTGTGTGTGTGTGTGTGTGTGTGAGAGAGAGAGAGAGATCAGGATTCAGGAAGACTTGTATGGCTTATTCGGTACTCAAATGTTATACCTATCTATGTAGTACAGTGGAATACAATAAGTTGCAAAATGCAATAAGTTTAGTTTACCACCTTACCCTATTAGTCAATCATTTTTTATTTTATTTATGTTTACTATTATTTTTTATTATTATACCCTCATTGGGGGCTGAGCCCCCCTAAAACGAAAATCTTAGAATCGCCCCTGAACACAGTCAAAACACATAAATTAGACTCAGTCTCAGGCATATTGCACTCAAACATGATTGTCTGGAAGAGTTGTGTTTGCATAATAAGCAAGATATCTTTGAGAACACTTAATTACTTCATATTAACCTGCCCATAAACGTCATGTAAAACAGCAAACATTGGTTGGTCACTTGATATATGTGACCCTGGAGCACAAAAGCAGTCTTAAGTCGCTGGGGTATATTTGTTGTCCCTTATGACTGGTTTTGTGGTCCAGGGTCACATATTTTCTTTTGGGCAGTTCTTGAGGAAATTGCACTGTGGACCAGGCCAGTGTTATTTTAGTGTTATTTATACACGATTATAGTATTTATTAATTTTGAATTAGCTTTTATTTTCATTTGTTAATTTTAGTTTATGTTTTAGTAATTTTTATATGTGCTTTTATCATTTTTATTTGTTTTATTATATATTTCTATTTCTTTTTATTTATTTATTTTTTTTATTTTAGTACTTTAACTTAGAAATTGGGAAATTTTGCAATGGCAAATAACTGAAATAAAACTTAAACGTAAAAAAAACTAAACTTTAACTTTTAAACTTTGAACTTTTTTCATTGAGTTTTTCATCTAATATTTTATTTTATTTCCAATAATTTCACTAATTTATCTTTTTAAGAAATCAGAAATGTTGCTATGCAAAGAACTGAAATAAAATAAATTTAAGTTGAAGTACTTAAAATAGGGTTTTCATCTAATATTTTTATTTCAGTTTTAGTTTTAGTCATTTTAGTACTTCAGCTTAAACTTATTACAATTAGTTGCTAAAGCAAAATTTCTTATTTTCATTTAAGGTTCTTAAGTTTAACTTTTTCGGGTTTATGTTTTTCATCTAATATTTATATTTTATTTTTATTTCAGATTTAGTTTTAGTAATTTTAGTATTCCAGCTTAAACCTGTTTTATTTCAATTAGTTGCTAATGCAACATTTCTAAATTTCATTTAAGTTTTTTAAATTTAAGTTTTTCTTCTAATAATGTCTAATATTTTCTTCTAATAATTTATTTTTATCTTCTAAATATTTATTTTTATTTCGAGTTTTGGTCATTTTAGTACTTCAATTTAAACATGTTTTATTTCAGTATTTTAACTTTCATTTAAGTTTAAGTTTGTTTTTCATTTAATATCTATGGTTTATTTTATTTTATTTTATTTCAGCTTTGTTTCAGTTAACAAAAACTAGCAAAGTTTTAGTTAACAATAACAACACTGGAGCAGACTTTATGTTGATAGTCAAAAGTCTGGCTAAACGAAATCAGTCAGTCACAGTATATAGACAAATTTAATTTCCCAACTAAAGACAAGCTTTATGCACAAACTTTCAGTCTTGTATGAGTGTCACGTAGACACAGAGAGAACCTCAATGCAACTCTTTCTTTTCAAATTACTTTAACCGATCCATTATGTTCTCAAATGGTCAGCATGCATTTCAATCAATGGATTTTTTTTTTTTTTTTTTGCACAGACGCAACTATTTTCAGCTGCCAAAAAAATCTCCCATCATCCTCTTCTCCTCCTCCTCTCCTGACTGCCCTCATTCATTCACATTTAATTTTGTCTCTATCCACTCCCATAGGATACACACACACACACACACAGCACGTTAGCATGCAATCTCCAGTAATGGCTTGAACTAAAAAGACAGGGATACTCTTTTTATGTTCGTATAATGGTAGAGGATAAAGTTCCCAGCTGAATAAAGGTCACAGATGCACTGTGAATTCACAATGGCGGTCGATTTGCTCTTGATCAAACTGCTCATGAACTGAGTGCATGTGGATTCTAAAGAAACCCCCATTAACGCTGCGCTAAAATCGTACACAAACATCCAGCTATGTTAGGAATAACTGATCTGTTGGAAAACTGTTCTGAATGCCTTTGAATAAAAAATTCATTTACTCAGGCCTTTTACATTTATTTATGATTTTTTGCCAACTTCAAGATCTGAAATCTTATGAATAAAGAATTGAAAGTGTCAGAGCTGTGACCAAGCGCTTAGAGCACATGCTCACTACACAACAAGCGGACACATTTGTGTAGGCGAAGCAAGATCAACTTGACTTTTTGATTCCTGAAAGGCCAAAAATAATATAAAACTAGATTTAACATTTCCTAAAAATGAGTGAGTGGTGCTTGCTCATGCATAAGTCACCTCTGTAATGCTAGGGTGTTGTGGATGTTTAGGTGGTTACTTACTGGCCTAAGTCAATAAATTCCACCCTCATGTGAGATTCTGGTCTCTATAAGTCACATCTCTCCTTTAATGTGAGTACATGGAATTTTTATTATCTGCTAGGCAAAAATTGTCCAGTCACTTAGAAGAGTAATAACACCTTTTAAATCAGATGTCATGTGTATATAGGTACGTGCATACAGGTGCATCTCAATAAATTAGAATGTCGTGGAAAAGTTCATTTATTTCAGTAATTCAACTCAAATTGTGAAGATGCACCTGTATATGTATTGATTTATTTTTTTATATTATTTTTACATTTGATATTATTTTATTTTTCATTATTTTTTTAAATATTTATTTTTGGTGAGATTAATTTATTTTAATTTATTTTATTATAATTATTTTGGGTGAGTGAGGGGATGGAATTGGATTGGTGACAATATTTTTTGCTATCCTGTCAATATAGTAATATATACAGTGGTGTGAAAAAGTTTTTGCCCCCTTCCTGTTTTTTTAATTGTTTGCATATTTGTCACACTTAAAAGATTCAGATAATCAAACAAATTTTAATATTACACAAAGATAACCTGAGTAAATACAAACTGCAGTTTTGAAATTATGATTTGGAAGGGGGCAAAAACCTTTTCCCGGCACTGTATATATGTGTGTGTGTGTGTGTGTGTGTGTGTGTGTGTACATGTTTTTTAAATTAATTTATATATATAAATGGGGATGGAGTGGTGACAATATTTTTTGCTATTGTCCTGTATTTTTATCCTGTTAATATACTAAAAAATTCAATAAACAGAAAGACTTTCTGTGTGATGAATAGAAGAGTGTAAATAATTTTACTCCTTTTTTCAGAGGTGTCACACAATGACTCGTGTCCAGACCTCCCTGAGATCCAGAACGGCTGGAAGACCACTTCTCATGTGGCGCTTGTGCGTGGAGCCCGTATCACATATCAGTGTGACCCGGGGTACGACCTGGTGGGCAGTGAAACCCTGATCTGTCAGGTGGACCTGAGCTGGAACACGCAGCCTCCGTTCTGCGAGAAGAGTGAGTCAAGCACAGTTGGGTGTCTTTGCTAATTAGATTCTAAAAGAACTTTAACTTTCAGCAGATTCAAATGTCATCCTTCTCTGCTGTGTCTCCTTTTCCCGCTTCCCCTCATTAGTTATGTACTGCACAGACCCTGGACACGTGGAGCACTCCACACGCACACTGTCTGATCCCAAACTCTTGGTTGGCACCACTATCCAGTACAGCTGCATTCCCGGATACATCCTGCAGGGCGGCGCCACTCTCACTTGCTATGGTCGAGAACCTGGCACCCCTGTTTGGACGTCTCGCTTGCCTCATTGCGTTTGTGAGTTCCCACAAATGTTTTGTCCAAAATTTCTGTATTTTATGTTTTAGTTCCTGTTTAATCCCTCAATTATTCCTGATTTAATTCCCTGTATATTAGCGGAAGAGTCAGTGTCCTGTGAGAATCCTGGCCTTCCTGACAATGGGTACCAGATATTGTCTAAAAGGCTTTACCTACCAGGAGAGTCTGTAACCTTCATGTGCTTCCAAGGCTATGAGCTTATTGGTGAGATGGCTATCAAGTGCATTCTGGGAAATCCCTCTTTTTGGAGTGGTCCATTACCTCTTTGCAGAGGTAAGAATCATATATGGTATTTACAAAAAAAATATGTACGCGTATATAATATGTATGTATATAAATGTATAGGGTTAAACCTTTATACCAAGATTTATTTATTTATGTGTTTATTTATTTTCTACTATAATAATAATAATAATAATCATTATTATTATTATTATTATTATTATTATTATTATTATTATTTTGTTACTGTTATTTTACTTCCCAACAATACAAACTAAGCTGCATAACAGATATTTTGTTTTCAAATGCATTTACAAATGTATTTAATGAATATTCAAAGAGTATATTTATAATTTTAAAAATTAAATATTGTCTTATTGTCAAAAATTACATTTTTGTTATGCACCTTCATAACAGATGTTTAATTTTCAAAGGTATTTAATTAATATTCAAAAAATGTATATTAAAAAATTAAATATATTCTAAGAATACTTAGAATATTCATTAAATTTATGTTATGCAGCTTCATTAGGGTAGTAATAAATGGAAAACAAAGTGCAAATGTTGGTATTACCATTTTGTGATCACCATTACTTATTATATTTTTTACTTATTACATTATTTATTTTATATATATATATATATATATATGTATGTATGTATATGTCTAATATTATTATTTCATTAGATTATAATATTATTCATTAAATGCTGATGTATTAAATATATTTATTTTTACCCAATATATTTCAGCCAATCATGAATGCTCTAGCAATCATGCACTAGAGGGTAAGTTTTTTTTTTTTTTATGTCCGTTTTTTTTTTTTTTTATGTACTAATTTAAGCAAAGGTTTAGCTTGTTTAAATCTACTGTAAGTGTCTACCTTTAATATCACATGCAGCATAGGTGCATTGTTAGCAGAGAGATTATATATTTCTAATGTTTAATAGATGTAGTGTGTAAAGCAGGTGGAAATGAATTATTAACGTATATATTATCCTTGTATCTTGTCTAGTGGCTGAAGCCATGGCAGACTCTTCTTTTGATGGGGGAAGTATGGCTCTAGCAATATTTATACTGGTGCTGCTAGTATCTGTTTTACTGGGAGGAGCCTACATCTATGTCACGAGGTGAGCAATACAGACAGTGAAAAGTGTTTACTAATTGTACAACAATAAAGAGCTACCGTTGTTCATGGGCACACATGTTCTGTTTCTGATTTAATAAATTGCTCAAAGCTAATTGTATTAATAAAACGGTGCTTAGAGCCACCACTTTTTGTGAAATGAGAGTGGTTTCTTCATAAAGCATGTTATGGCTTGAAGCGCAATGATATGTGTAGGTGGGAAAACAGCATGACTGTCCATTGCTGATGTGAGAGAACATGCTGCGTTTGTACCACTGTGAAACACTCTTCTCTGTTCCTCAGGTGCCGTTATCATTCAAACCTGAGACTTCCTCTGATGTATCCGCATCCCTACAGCCAGATCACCGTGGAAACCGAGTTTGACAACCCTCTCTACGAGACTGGAGGGGTGAGAATCTCCCAGAACACCTCAATAACCACACAACAAGGCCCTTGCAATCACCTAGAACATCTAAGCAACCATCCAGAACCCCTTAGGAAACTAATATTCTGGAAAACTTCCAAAACACTCCACCTAGCAACCATCCAGAACCCCTTGGGAACTACATGGTACTGCCTTGTTCCAGAGCAACCTAGCAACCACACAACAATCCTAGCGATCATCCAAAGCATCTGAGCAGCCACCTAGCAACTCAATGTCATCATACCTTAAAGAACACCCTAGCAATCACCTAGAAATTCCCTAGCAACCACCAAGAACCCCTTGAGAACTTCATAAAACTACCCAGAGCACCATAGCAACCACCCAGAAACCTTTTGGGAAGTAATTAGCACTGTCCTGGTAACCTCTCAGAACACCCTAGAAACCAGTTGCTACAAACGTAGCAACTACCTAGCAACCATCCAGAACCGCTTGGGAACTACATGGCATGGCCCTGGGAACCTGCTAGAGAACCTTAGTCCTGGCAATCATTCAAAACACCCTAGCAACCACCTAGTAATTCCCTAGCAACAAACCAGAACCTCTTGGAAACTACATAATGACAGCCTGGAAACCACCCAGATCACCCTAGCAACTGAAAACACTGAAAACACCCTAGCAACCACCTAGTAACTCCCTAGCAACAAGCCAGAACCTCTTGGAAACTACATAGCGCAACCCTGGAAACCTCCCAGATCACCATAGCAACTGCATTTAGAAAATCTCTAGAATACCATTAAAAACACCCTAGCAACCATCCTGAACCACCTAACAAGGGCCTGGAAATCACCTAGAACACTTTAGTGACACTGTAGCAGCCACAAGTGTTTATTTCATGATCACAAATTGGAAGATCTTCCATAATGGCTGTAATTCTCATGTTTATGTTGTACAGGACACAAGAGAGTATGAGGTGTCCATATGAAGAGGCCCACAGACACATCCCGTACTGCTCCAGTGCTTACAGGAAGTGATGTAAATAGATCCTGACAACTCCACTCTCCCCACCTCCCCAACCTTAAGAGGACAGAGAGGGGCGTGAAGGGAACGGGGCTGTGAAACAGGAAGTACCAGTGCAGAGATTGTTTGGCCAGTAGACGTTACCGTGGTTTTACAACATGTGATTCGACACGTATGCGCTCACAGCCGGAGGTTCTTATTCTGCCATTCACAAACATGTGTGTGTGTGTGTGTGTGTGTGTGTGTGTGTGTGTGTGTCCAGCGAGTGGAAAATAACAAGTGAAGAGTTTGCACAGTGTTCTTACATGACTTACGGGACAGTTTAACCCTGGAGTTCGTAACCCCTTTGCTCCGATACGAAGGGGTGGTAGTGGCGCCGTCCTGTGTCTGTCTGTGGCCCGTCCTGCCTGCTGTCATTTTTAAGTCTTTTTACTTAGAGCAGTTCGTAGTGCAGGTTTTAAAGTAGTATTTTTCCCCTGCAAGTGACGTCCTACTGCAGCAGAGAGCAGATGATGTATTTATTTTGAAGTATATGTGAAATGTTCTCTGCTGATTAATGAATACTTCATTTTGGAGATCAAGAAAAAAAATGTAACTGATTTCTCTAAAGAAATGTGAAAAATAAATAAATTCATTTAAATCTTTTCTAACACTGATGTGTCCTGTTTTATTTTAAGAGATCTGACAGATGTGGAGCCCTAAACCTATTTAAATAATTACATTGTCTTGAATTTACTTTTGTATTACTTTTGCCCCCTTAATTTATTCTGTTCTGTTAACTTTATTTTTTTATTCTTTCATTTTATTTATTTATTTTTTATTAATAGAACATTTATGCTCCAAATTCTGCCTACTGGAAAGAAACTGTATAAATACAATTCTGTAATATAGAGACTTTTGCTAGAGTCCCCTATGGAAGCTTATGTCCACACAAGATAAAAAACAAAAACTTTTTTCTCACAATTATGAGGTTGTCTGACAATTCAGACTTTTTTTCACAGCAATCCTAAATTTATTTCTCACAATTCTGACTTTGTCTGAATTCTGCATTAAAGGAACACTCCACTATTTTTGAAAATAGGCTCATTTTCCAACTCCCCTAGAGTTAAACAGTTGAGTTTTACCGTTTTCGAATCCATTCAGCCGATCTCCGGGTTTGGCGGTAGCACTTTTAGCTGTAGCTTAGCATAGATCATTGAATCTGATTAGACCGTTAGCATCTCGCTCAAAAATGACCAAAGAGTTTATATATTTTTCCTATTTAAAACTTGACTCTTCTGTAGTTACATCGTGTACTAAGACCGACGGAAAATGAAAAGTTGCGATTTTCTAGTCTGATATGCTCTCATTCCGGCGTAATAATCAAGGAACTTTGCTGTCGTATCATGGGTGCAGCAGGCGCAATGATATTACGCAGCGTCTGAAAATAGGCTTATTGGAAGTTACCTAGCATTATTTTTACCTAGACTATTTTCAGGCGCTGCGTAATATCATTGCGCCTGCTGCACCCATGATACGGCAGCAAATTTCCTTGATTATTACGTCGGAATGAGAGTATAGTTCCTAGCCATATCGGCCTAGAATATCACAACTTTTCATTTTCCGACGGCCTTATTACACGATGTAACTACAGAAGAGTCAAGTTTTTACATTTTTGAGCGATATGCTAACGGTCTAATCAGATTCAATGATCTATGCTAAGCTACAGCTAAAAGTGCTACCGCGAGACCCGGAGATCGGCTGAATGGATTCGAAAACGGTAAAACTCAACTGTTTAACTCTAGGGGAGTTGGAAAATGAGCCTATTTTCAAAAATAGTGGAGTGTTCCTTTAAATTAAACTCCCAATTGCGAGTTTATAGTAGTAGCTCATAATTGGTAGTTTATATTAACTCCAGACATAAATTCACAATTTTGAGAAGCCTCAAAGTAAACGTTACTTTTTATTCTGTGCCTCAAACAAAAAAATGTCAAAATTGCTAGAAAACGTCTTGAGTTTATATCTCACAATTCTGACTTTGTTTTGTCTTTTATTTTATTCTGTGGTGACTGTACATAGTCTACTGCATTTCATTTGTTTTTCCTGAGAAAAGGTCCACGGTAAATCGGAAGCAAATGCATGTAAAAACATTTCCCTACTGGTATGTCAACACACTTATGGAGTGGAAACACCTAGCCTTCAACTCACATGCAAGAGTCACATTTACAGTGAAAGTTTCGCACGTTATCTCGTTTCTCAGTCCACCCATTTCCTTTGATTGTTTCATCTTCTTTTGAAAACGATACTGTGTTAAATGGGTGCATTACTATCAAATTTGCACATTTTTATACGTTACCAAAGAATCGTTCAGCAAAAATTGAGCCCATTTGAGGCTCAGACAGAGACAGGAAAAGAAAAAGCCACTGGTTGTGGCTGTCAGGCGAGATCTGAACTGTTAGTCTGAATGTTTTTAAACTACATTCGCTTCCTCTTTGTGCTTTCTGCCCATTTGACTTCACGGCAGAGCATTTAGCCTGGAGATCATGCAACGTTCAATGTTTGTCGCGTGAAGGTCAGTTAATCATTTCCTTAATGAGTTGTGTTTAATGCAACTCCTTTCATATCACTTTATCAGTGCAGTATATTTTTTTCGGCTCTACCTGTAGCCTGTATTTCCTGTGCATGTGGCATAAACCACTTTCACTTTAATATGCAAAAAAGTGATTTTTAAAGAATGTGTAATTCAAAGATAAGGTCTGATGAATCAAAAAGCTTTGTAAGGCACTCATGGTTCCTGTAACCAGTTTTCTTGCTGTTATCAACAAAACATTTGCAGAAGTAGTCAACAGAAGAAGTGCAGTCACTTCTGTGTTTAAGCATAGCCTTTTTTCTGTCTTGGCGTGATGCGGCTTTCAGTCAAGCGGGCAGTTGTACTGCTAACGCTCTTCGGAGCTTGTACGCTTACTAGGACTCTATATGAGGTGCTAACATGCCCTGGAGAGGTTCCCAGAACCCATATGGTGTCTATACGGGCTCGAAACTGGAACCAGACACAGTACCGGTATAACCAAAACACACCGATGGTGTTTGTGGGTGGGGTTCCACGATCAGGGACCACCTTGATGCGTGCCATGCTTGATGCCCACCCTGACATCCGCTGCGGGGAGGAGACGCGGGTGATCCCCAGGATACTGTCTCTGCGGCAAGGCTGGGGGAGACAGACGGAGGAGCGCTGGGCGCTGGAGGACGAGGGAGTCAGTCAAGAGATGCTGGACGCTGCGACCAGAGCGTTCCTGCTGGAGGTCATCGCACAGCACGGGGATCCTGCACCACTGCTGTGCAATAAAGACCCCTTTACACTGAAGAGTGCTGTTTATCTGTCACACATTTTCCCCAAGTAAGATATCTCCTTTTTAGAGGTGCATTCAGGGATTTAATTTATTATTATTTTGTATTTGTTTTGTAAAAGGTTTTACACAAAGACATTTGTAGTCCTTCTGAAAAATATATTTACACTTATTTATTTTACATGGACTGAGTTCCATCATGAAGGCCAACGTGTTTTCATAGAAAAATGTAAAAATCTAGTTGCTGATACAGTCTAGAAGTGTTGTTTTTATTTTATTTGAAAGTTTTACACAAAGACATTTGTAGTACTTCTGAATAATATGAATACGCTTATTTCTTTTACATGGAGTGAGTGCCATCATAGTGGCCAATATGTTTTCTTCAGAAAATAAAAAAATCTACTTTCTGATATAATCTAAAAGTAATGTTTTTTATTGTTATTATTTTAGCTATATTTTTATTTGTTTTTTTAATTATTATTTAGAAAATATACATGTTAGCACAATAATAATGCTTGATAAATACACACACACACGTATATATACAGGTGCATCTCAATAAATTAGAATGTCGTGGAAAAGTTAATTTATTTCAGTAATTCAACTCAAATTGTGAAACTCGTGTATTAAATAAATTCAATGCACACAGACTGAAGTAGTTTAAGTCTTTGGTTCTTTTAATTGTGATGATTTTGGCTCACATTTAACAAAAACCCACCAATTCACTATCTCAACAAATTAGAATATGGTGACATGCCAATCAGCTAATCAACTCAAAACACCTGCAAAGGTTTCCTGAGCCTTCAAAATGGTCTCTCAGTTTGGTTCACTAGGCTACACACATTCTAATTTATTGAGATGCACCTGTATATAATTTTTTATGGTAAGCAACTGTTTTCTCGAGCAGCAAATCTGCATATTAGAATGTGCATTGCTCTTCAACTGGAAAAATGTCTAAAACAAAGGCAATGCTTTGTGCTGCATAAAGCAATGCCAGCAAAATCCTTTTAATTTCTTGCTTTTTTCATGACATTTCAGTCTTTCTGTCTCACTCCTCATGCCATCATCTGTCCTTTCAGCTCTAAATTCCTGCTAATGCTCAGAGACGGCCGGGCGTCTGTGCACTCTATGATCTCCAGACGAGTGACTATCGCTGGCTTCAACCTGTCCAGCTACAGGGACTGTCTGACTAAATGGAGCAATGCAATCGAAGTCATGCTCTCCCAGTGTATGGCAGTAGGCCGGAGTCGCTGTATGACCATCCGCTATGAGGATCTGGTGCTGCAGCCGCAAGCCACCATGCGGCGTGTGCTGCACTTTCTGAAATCACCGTGGCACGAAGGTGTGCTTCACCATGAGGAGGCCATCGGTCAGCCTGGAGGAGTATCACTGTCTCGGTAGGGCGACATTACATTTAAAGGGATAGTTCAGCCAAAAATGAAATTTCTGTCATCATTTACACACCCTCTACTTGTTCCAAAGCTGTATGGGTTTCTTTCTTCTGTTTAACATATTTTGATATTTTGAAGAATCTTGGTAGCCAAACAGTTGAATGGTACCCATTGACTTCCATAGTATTTTCTTCCATACTATGGAAGTCAATGGCTACCATCAACTGTTTGGTTCTTCAAAATATCTTCTTTTGTGTTCAAAGCTGAAAGAAATCCATACAGTTTTGGGTGAATAAATAATGACAGTATTTTCATGTTTGGGTGAACTATCCCTTTAATGTCTTGGGTGCCGGCCTTCCACTGTTCCCCTGACTATCCTCGCTTTTCACCTTGTTTTTAAGAAGTGAACGCTCCACGGATCAGGTGATCAAACCAGTTAACCTGGAAGCCCTCACACGCTGGGTAGGCCACATCCCAGCAGACGTCCAGCAGGACATGGAGAACATCGCGCCAATGCTGCGCAAGCTGGGCTACAACCCCAAAGCCAATCCACCAGACTATGGTCAACCAGATCCAGAAGTGATCAACAATACTGAAAGGGTATATCTGAACACAGAATATGACATACAAACTGCATTTCAATTCATTCAGTGCAGCTCAAGGATCCGAGTTGCTAGTTATTCAGTCATAATTTCCAGTTTTCCATGTCTTTCCTAGGTACTGAGAGGAGATTTTAAAACTCCCATGAGACTGAAAAGATCGGTACAAGTGAGTGCAAGCTTTAACGTTTTTAAAGCCTAGTGTATCATATTTGATATGGATATTTCTAAGGCCTCTATTTAAGTTTATACTTGTTTAGCGAGTAAAAGGTCTTTTCTAAAAACTTTCTCCTTCAGGTTGTGGTACACAAGTGTTTTAGCTGTGAAATAGTAAACATAAGTATAACTTTTCTATTGTTAGTAATATTTCAAGAGAGTGACAATGCAGTGGTCTGCTATATTGTTACACTCTAAGACATAAAAAATATATCTCAATGTACCATGTTAAAATGAAAATGTGTTAAAAGGTGTTTTACCTCTATTTTGAATTACAGTATGCGTTGCATTGTGTAGTGTTTGAGGATTGAAGGAAATGTTCAAGCTTCACAGAAAATGTACTGGTAATTTTCTTTTTGGCCTTGTAAGTATCAGCAACTGCACCAAATTTCATATTTTTGCTCAGTTTGGGCCGCTGAATAAAACAGATTAGTTTTTTCTTAAGCATGAGCTCCATATTCTTCTATATCATACTATATGAGCCATAAAAGCCAATTGTAACAAATACGATACTCAACAAAAAGCGAATATGCACATTTTAAAATATTTTGTCTAAAGGTTCGATAAACTGTTCCTTTAAAACAAACAAATGATTTTCTGACTAGTATTTAATATGACAGGCTTTACAGGGTTAAACATACTTTTGGCCAAACATTTTAAAACACTGAAATATCTGAATTGAGTTAAAATTACAAAAATCAAAGCAAGTGTCATTTATTTGAAAGAAATATATATAAAAATATATATAAAAAAAAAAAACAGATTTCAAGTTAAGCAGTTAACAAATAGATGTTTGAAATGATTCAACAAAAGATTTAATATCAAAGCAAGTGTCATTTATTTGAAAGAAATATATATAAAAATATATAAAAAAAAAAACATATTTCAAGTTAAACCTTTCACAAATAGATGTTTTCTTTGTATATCTTCAACATAACGCATATATTAATGCTTCCCACAAAATCAGGTTCTCAAATCTAATGTCTGCAATTGTTTAAATAGTGCGTCGGGCGTAGCGGCGGAAGGATACAGTGCGTTCTTTATAAATAGCCGGACCTTTTGTTTTGAGCCGTTATATTCGCTCCCGTGACGAGAGGATAAAGACGCACGCATTCCGCACTCTTCCAGAAAAGAACATTTGTTTGTAAGTATGAAGTAAAATGTACACAAACGACGCCAGCTATATCGCTACTTAAAAACAACAGTATTTTATTTGACTTTAAGCGCTTGTGGAATTATATAAACGTGTATTTCTGAATGGGCTAACGCGTTAGCTTTTATGCTAGCCGGCCTGGTCGTTTCTGAGGACTAAATTTGACCGTCTTTGTAATTTCATGTGGATGAATATTAAAATATTATGCATTGATGTGTTTTATGTATGTTTTGTACTAGTTCGCGAATTTTGCGGCGAATTATACCGCTAAACAGCGCAGTGAGGTCGGTGAATCTCAATTCATCTGCGTATTTTCTTTCAGCAACATGTCAGCAATCGACACGTCCTTAAACATGTACCTGGTCGAAATGTAACTCATTAATAGTTATTTCTCTGGTTATCAATGTTTTTGTTACGTTGTTGTTTTCTGGCCATTTTCTGTGGTAAAAGTCGCCATTTTGTTTTCAGTCGCCCACTTTCGTTACGCCCTGCCTCTCAGCTGTGTCAGCAGTAGTGATGCTGTTTGCTCTCAAACCTTGTTTTGTTTCGCTTTCTTTTATGTAGAAATTTCTAGAGAATTCTTAGGCTTGTCTATCAATACTAAATGAACGTGTACTTTCTAGTTTTTTAGGAATGCAGCACATACGTTGACGTTAATTAGTTTGAATATCTTTTTCTAGCGTAAAGATGCAGATCTTCGTCAAGACGCTGACTGGCAAGACCATCACCCTCGAGGTTGAGCCCAGCGACACCATTGAGAACGTCAAAGCTAAAATCCAAGACAAGGAAGGCATCCCTCCTGACCAGCAGCGTCTGATCTTTGCTGGCAAGCAGTTGGAAGATGGACGCACGCTGTCTGATTACAACATCCAGAAGGAATCCACCCTCCATCTTGTCCTGCGTCTGAGAGGTGGTATGCAGATCTTCGTCAAGACACTGACTGGCAAGACCATCACCCTTGAGTTCAAGTTAAACCTTTCACAAATAGATGTTTGAAATGATTCAACAAAAGATTTAATATTATTTTGAGTGATTTCTGGTAGTCAAATATTAGTAGAACATGTTAACATGAACTAGGAAAATGAAATGTCATTGCAAAAATGGCAGAAGTTGGTTTTAGACATGTATTAATTTGCAGATGCCACTTTATTTGGTGTTTTGTCATCTAATGAAATGACACTATATGTCCCAATACGTTCTGTGGGCACCCTGTATATATAGGCCTACTATGATTATAGGTTGCATATGTCTTTACACTTTGTTTTGAATAAATTAGAATCATTTTTAAATAATTTCTTGTTTTGATAGGTATCTCCAAAGATAGTTTCTAAAGAAGGTAGAAACTGAACAGAGTCATTGGTTGCAGTATGTGCTCGAGTTCAGCTTTGGATAACTTCACCACCATTTTGTGCCATACAGATACAGAGCAACCTGAGAAGGAAACGAGGAGCATCATTATGCAATAGCTGTGGTAACATGGGGTCTGATTTCGACGTTGCCAGAATCCATTATAATAATTAGGTGACTAAATCTTATGTACCACCATTGAGAACGTCAAAGCTAAAATCCAAGACAAGGAAGGCATCCCTCCTGACCAGCAGCGTCTGATCTTTGCTGGCAAGCAGTTGGAAGATGGACGCACGCTGTCTGATTACAACATCCAGAAGGAATCCACCCTCCATCTTGTCCTGCGTCTGAGAGGTGGTATGCAGATCTTCGTCAAGACACTGACTGGCAAGACCATCACCCTTGAGGTTGAGCCCAGTGACACCATTGAGAACGTCAAAGCTAAAATCCAAGACAAGGAAGGCATTCCTCCTGACCAGCAGCGTCTGATCTTAGCTGGTCTGGTGTCGAAGAAACAAGTCTCAGGAAGGACATTAAACACTGGACAGAGATCAACATTTTTACTTCCTGATGCTCTCAAGAGAGTATTATTTGCCATAATACCATAATTTAATTACACTGGACTTCCTGAACATTGCAGTTTTTTATGTCTTGTTTTGGGAAATGAGAGGAGTGTGATTTAGCGCTTGGTGTCGCACTGAATGTTGTTGCTATGTCCCTGCCTGACCTAGTTATTAAATTGAGCCATTCTTCTTTTCTTATAGTGCCAAAACGCATTGTTTTCCCTCAGTGTTTCCAAAAGTGCATTATTTCAATAAAAAAATATTAATACAAATCGAGTAATGTGTTATTTTGAATCCTATTTGTGTCATTATTTTGATCTCGAAACATTTGATCAGAGCCAACCCTGTGCAGTGCATCATATCACTCCGCCTGTCCCCAAAATCCCACGAACACACCAAACATATATATATATATATATTCAAGGCCAAGATCCAAGATAAGGAAGGCATTCCTCCTGACCAGCAGCGTTTGATCTTCGCCGGCAAACAGTTGGAAGATGGACGCACTCTGTCCGACTACAACATCCAGAAAGAGTCCACCCTCCATCTTGTCCTGCGTCTGAGAGGTGGTATGCAGATCTTTGTGAAAACCCTGACTGGCAAGACCATCACCCTCGAGGTTGAGCCCAGCGACACCATTGAGAACGTGAAGGCCAAGATCCAGGACAAGGAAGGCATTCCTCCTGACCAGCAGCGTCTGATCTTCGCTGGCAAGCAGCTTGAAGATGGACGCACGCTGTCCGACTACAACATCCAGAAGGAGTCCACCCTGCATCTCGTCCTGCGTCTTCGTGGGGGCAATTAATCTGCTCATGATGTTTACTATATAGGTCTTGAAAGTTATCAGACCAATTCCAGTATCCTTTGTTCCCTCTTAATCCTTCAATAAAGTTATGGCATTCCTGATTCTCTTGTTTTGTCATCTCTGAAATCATTCACACAATTGTCACTTTAAAAATGTACAATGTGGAGTTCAAATGTTTTTGTATGTAAAAAAATTAATATACTGGTTTGAAAATCAAATATGATCTAAAGTTGAATTCTCATGCACTTTCTAGTACAGCGGTCTACATTTGAAGTGGATCAAAACCTTTCATCAAAGTTGTCCTAAAACCCAAACAATATCTGTTCTTGTCTTAGGACAACTTCACTTTTTTTTTTCTTTTTTTTTTTTTTTTCACTTCAAATGTTGACTACTGTATTTAATTATCCAAGTATCTCATTTGCTAGAAGTTGCATTTCATCATTGGTAATATTACACTGGAGTCAAAGTTGCGTAGAATTGGCAAGTAACGCCTTTAAATGTGAGATTTTGGAGTTGAAAACGTTTTCGCTCTTTACGATTTAAACTAGTATTGCTGTCAGATTGCAATTAATAAACAAGCCACTAGATGTCACCATAGGTTTGTGGAAAGCCATGTGACCCCTTTCAATGCTCTTATTTTTGAAGTGGCTCTCATGTCTGTGTTCTGGCTGTCTTGTAAACATTCTCTATCTGACCCTGGAGTCATGGTGCTTTAATGGGTAACTATTAAATGCCGATACCCTGACACTTAAAATGATTTTCTATTGCAAATGGCCTTGAAGTACTTTGGTAATCTGTTGCTGGAGGGCAACTGTTAATTAGTTTAACTACGTTGTATGTTTACCTGTTAGAGAAACTGAGAATTGTCTTTTTTACATGAGCATTTTTTTTAGCTTGCCGTATATTGTTATGGGGTGGGGCATAGATATTTACTGGTCAAATTGTCTCAATTGAAAATAAGTATATCGCAACATCTGCTTTGTTTTGCTACTGTTCAGTCCATTTCTTCTGGCATCCGATACTTTTCATTGATATTGACCAGCAGTACTAACTGGAGACGGTGTGTCTTGTGCAACCTTAAGTTGTGTATTGCTTAAAGATACAGATCAACCTTTGTGTTAGGAGACAACCGTCACCACTGAATTCCAGACGATCACATACAACGTCTCTCGCCTACTTACTGCATTGTCACTTCTGTTTCCAAAAGCACAACAAAGAATTCATTCTGATATCAGTGCAAGAATCAGTCCAGCCGGGTCTAACGAAAATACTTATCTGGTCTTCTAAAAAAATATTTCTGTACTAAAAGATAAACAAGCCAAGGGCTAAAAAAAAAACCAAAACATTAAGCTGTTGATGTTGGTCTGTTAACTGAGAAATATATGTTCAACATAATTAATGAAGGGGCGCTGTGAATAATTTTTGTAATGTTTAAAATGTGAGATCCATCTGATTTGAAATGAAATGATTTTAACTTGCTGTGCTGAGATTAATGGACCTTTTAATTAAAACATTTAAATGGACTTAGTCTAAATCATAGTGTGACTGGAATTAAATTGTTTCTAAATGTAACACGGTCAGCAGTTAATTTCATTTAGACAGTTTTCTGCTGTCACAGTGTCATGTGTTTTCAGAATGAAAGAATGTCTTTCATGCATTTCACGCAGATACATTTCTATGCACCAGTAAATATCATTCATAATTTGTGGCTTATCATATTTGTCATGCCCTTAAAGGCCCAAAAAGTTTGAGCAAATGCGCTTGTTTCCTTCACTAGGTTTCCAATCTGGATTTGGAATCAAAAATCACATGAATAGCCTCTTTAAAAAGCTCTTTTGATGTCGCTTTGCCTTCACCCTGAGTGACATTTCATATAAAATGTCAAACGGTGAAGGTTTTGGCCCTCTTTTACACACTGGAGGAAGGATTAATTGATGTAAGATTTGCTCTGGCACTCCAAGGGAATCCTCATATCATATAAGCAACTGAAACATGAAACTCCTTTCTAAAGTGAGAATGGTTTTATTAGTCCTCCCAGATTTGGACGTCCCATTGTTAGCAAAACTACTGAAAGGCGTTCACGGTCTTGTTCCTATTGCTTTAGGTCAAATTTTTATTAAGCAGTCTGATACTTTAATGTTTTAAAAAGCATAATATAGGTCTTAAAAGGATAAAGCGTGGTCCGTATCCTCGGCACATGTTTTACCTTCCCTTTTTTAATATATAGATCTCTGAATACCACCAAACAGATTAAAACAGGATACTTTTTGTGCTTAATTTCATGTTGAAATAGGATGTTTAAATGTATATTTGTATATGTTTTTCACTCCAAAATCTGCGAAAAAATGTCAAACCATGGCAGATACTACATCAAAACTTTTCATTTCACAAAGAAAAATAGTTGCGTCACCGCAGGCTCTAGATAAGCCATTGTGTTACATTATGAGTTATCAGTGGCAAATACCAATAAAGATACAATAACACTTATCATGTTCTTCCAGCAGCTCTGTTTGATAATTTATCATGGCTCTTTAACATAATACGCCACGTTTTTAATGACAGTTTAACAGTACAGTACATAAACAGTGAAAAAATAGTATATTTTTTGCAAACTTTTACCTCAGAACTTATATTTTATTTTGGACATCAGACTTATTCATATAAAAGAAAATATTAAAATCGAATTACTTATTCAAATGACAAATTACTGTATTAACTGCATAAACCCAACACTATGCAAATGTAACATGAATAGGACGATGTTCTAAATGCATAAAGAACAGAAGAATGAATTTCAGATTTATTACAATTTTTAATACAGTTGTTTGATTCCATGCACAGCATTTGACATCAAAAAAACGTGCGCATGTGAGGCCTTTTCAGTTCCCTTTTAGTTGATAAATCTGTTCATTGTGTTATTCTAATTATTCACAAATATATGCTTAGCTGCGTCTAATTATTTGCATTTAGTATTTTTTTTTCCTGCTGTTTGCTATGCCATCAGAAAAGACATTTTTGGTTTTTCTCAAATCTAAAATCTATTAGTAGTCCAAATACGTTTTGGGGCCACTGTATGCAGTGTTGGGGAAAGTTACTTTTAAAAGTAATGCATTACAATATTGCGTTACTCCATAAAAAA